GTGCCACTCACATCTACTTCATATTCCATCCACCCTTAATTCTTTTACGTTCAAATTGCTTTACTTTAATTTTTTCATAAACGCAATTTATTTTCCGTGCATTTTTATTTTGGCACTGAGGGATGTCTCTTACCTCCTCCTCACCACTGCAACCACCTCTACTCCCGCGCATCAAGCGATAGTATTTCATCATTTCCTCTCACTCTCCACCCTGACCCGAGTGCAACACGCATTTGCCCAAACTGACAGCCAAAGCCATCTACCAATGCCACAAACAACCAATGCAGCGCACTTCCACCCACTTACACCTCTTCCATTCATTCATCCACACATTTACTCATTCACTCATTCCTCCAATCGTACACCCTCACCCAACTGTCCAGTTCACTCAAATACCTAACATCCACTCCCACTCCCCTCACCCACCAACACAATGGACCACCAAAGCTGCACTACTACCACTTCTCTCTCCGTCAATGCACTACCTTTACCACTCCCACAATTCAGATATACGCACAAACACCAAACCCTCAACATCCAACAGACACCAGTGGTAGGTGAGTGAGAGCACCCCACCAACCCACTCCAACAGCCAATCCAACTGCACTTCAGTAGCACATTACATTCCCTCCGCAATACCTTCACTCACTCACTCACTCAATCACTCGCCCACTCACTCACCACTTATCCCTCACACAAGCATCACCTCCGTCTACTTCAACGAGCAACGCCCACCACATTGTCACGACAACAACAACTTCAATCTCTACAACATCCACTCTTCCGTGGCACACCAACTAAAGGCGTCTTCAAACAATTACTGTTAATGCTGCTGCTGCAACAGGCATCGCATGCAGGAGAAGGGGAGAGGCAGATGACGACGGTTCCTCCATCCTCTCACCACCATCTGCACCACTAACAACACACATCCCCAATTTCGGTTACGCACTGCACGACTTCAAGACCGCCACCAGATGGATGAGGTGCAAGCGCACTCCCTCCCTACATTCGCCACTGCCAAACTTGAGGCGCATTGACCATCCACTGCAGCACTCACCGATGCCGAAGGTCTCAGCATCACCAACCCTGAACGACAACACCGAGGATCCTCCGCAATGCCACCACACGACTGATGCTCGCACTCCTCTCGCAATCCATCGTCCATTGACCAAATCACAATCCCAATCTCCTACATCAACACAAACTATTCACTAGTACAGTGTGTGCAATAGCTAGAGTTTTTGATTCAGCAAACACATCTTCTTTACTTTGGACCACATCCCTTCCAACACAACCCACAGAGAAATAAACAACAAATAACTCAAGAGAAACAAAACTCCCTCCTAATGTTTAACTGCCTCAACCACATTCCACTCTTGCTACAATGCCAAACCTTTCCACGAACTCCCAAACCACCTCACCTCATCACTTCATATGTCTTGTGCCTGACAAAAACACAAAAACACCACAACCACAGACCT